TGCGTGCGTGCGTGTGTGTGTGTGTGTGTGTGTGTGTGTGTGTGTATCACCACTATCTCCTTGTGGGAATCAGAGGAAAAATTTTGAGAGTTAGGTCTCTCCTACCATGTGGATCCCAAAGATGGGCCCAGGTCATCAGGCTTGGTGGTAGGAATACCCACTCAGCCATCTTGCTGGCCCTCTTTAGGATGTCTTACTGTGTGACAACCACTGGGCTGGCAGTTGTGATAACTTTAGGTAACATGTGGCTCTACTATGGCCCTGTGCTGTTCAAGAGGCACACTGAGCCCAAACTTTTGCTTCCATGGTATGACCTGCTGGGAGAGGCTAGAACAGCAGGAAACTGGCCTGGCTTGGGGAGACCTTTGTTTTGAGTCAGCTTTCTGAAGATTTAAAACAGAATGATTAAGGTCAAGGACTCTGGAGCCAGAAGGGGCGGGTCCAGCTCCTACTCCACCACTTAAGGCCCGTGTGCTTATAGGAGTGGGAAAGCAAATTCTTATCTATTTTCATGAGAATCTGACCTTCACTTCATTCTGTATCTTGTTCTCCTGGGAACTGGATATAGGGAGTATGTCACCTACATTTCAGCTGCATTGCTTATGGTAAGAATGACCTGTGTTAAAAATGCACAGGGCAACCTCTTCATCTTTACGGTTCCCTGAATACAGTAACTCTTCTCACTGGCTCATTCCTTAATGGGACTGCACAAGCTGTGGCTAGAGAACATTACAGGCAATCATGGATCCCAGGGGGTGGTCAACCAGAGTGCTGTACTCATCATTCATACCTTAGCTGAAACCTTGGTGCTCACAGAGAACAGCATCTTGGTGCCTCTGTGGTTTGAGGTTCTGCAGGCTGCTTCCATTGATGAGCTCCCAAGGCTGCCCTGAAGCAAGCTGTGCACTCTGTCTTACAGCCTTCTCCATGAACTAAATGGAAGTATGCCTGTGGTAGTCTTGTGAGACCTGATAGGTAGTTAAAGCTAAAAAGACCCCTGGTATGCATCATGAAGTGCCTGTTTGTTTTTGTTTTGTTATTTGAGACAGGATCTTGCTATGTACTACAGGCTGGGCTTTTACTCTTAATCTTCCTACTTCAGTCTTTGAAATGCTGGGATTACTCTTGTGTGCCGCCTCACCTAGTTCTGTGTTTGTTTTTTAACTCTGTATATTTTTCTCATCTATAGAGTGGAGATGTTAACACTAACTTCTAGAGTAGTTATAAAAGTTGTAAGGTGCTTAGAGTAGAGCCTAGGACATAAGTATGTGCTGCTGTCATCACCATCATCATCATAATCATCCTTGAAGGAAGACCAGAAGCCCTTTCTCCTTTAGCTCAGTTCTAACCTTTAGCAGGTGCTAAATCACAGTGTGGCTTTGGAAAAATCATCTTATTATCTAATTTCTTCTCTCTCTCTCTCTGTTTGTATGTATTTTTATGAATATGTTCATGTGGGTGTGTTTATTTGTGCATGTGCAGAGGTCAGTGGTCAGTATCAACTGTCTTCCTCAATCGTTCCTCCACCTAAAAAAATAGTTTTATTTATTCTTTGAACTCTTCATACATTTATACAACATATTTTGAGCATCTCCTCCCTTCGGCTCTCTCTAGTGCTCACTTCCTCTTCTCTCTCCCAACTCATCTTATTATTATTTTTTTTGAAAGACATGGTCTCCTTGTAGCTCCAACTGTCCTGAACTTGCTATGTAGAGCAGGCTGGCCTCGATCTCACAGAGATCTGCCTGCCTCTACCTCTCCAGTGCTGGGATAAAAGCTGTGCACCACCATGCCCAGCATCCATCTTAATTAAAAAAAAAAGATTTTATTTTTATTTTATATGTATGAGTGTTTTGCCTGCATGTAAGTGTACCATCTGTATCATATCTAGTACCTGTGGAGGCCGGAAGAAGCCATGCATCCCCTTGAACTGGAGTTAAGGGTGGGTATTAGCTGTCATGTGGGTGCTGGGACTCGAACCCAGATTGTCTGGTAGAGTACTAAGTGCTCTTAACTGCTAAGCCATTTCTCTAGCTCCCTCATCTTAATTAAAAAATTTTTTTATTTATTGTTTTTTATGTGTGTGAGTATATCACCTGCATGTGTGTAAGTGTACGCGTGTCATGCAGTGCCTGGGGAAGTCAGAAGAGAACGTCGGATCCCCTGAAACTGGAATTACAGATGGTTGTTAGCCACCATGTGGGTGCTGGGAACCAAACCTGGGTCCTCTCTAAGAATAGCCAGTGTTCTTAACCATTGAGCCATCTCTCCAGTCCCTGATCTTCATCTTAATTTTTTGAGATAAAGTCTCTCACTGAAACCTGAAGCTCATCAATTTTGCTAGGTTGGCTGGCCAACAAGCCCTGGGGATCCCTTTATTTCTGCCCTGTCTCCCAACTCGCAACTCCCAGTTATAGATGCTCAGGGGCCATGCCCAGCTCTAAGGATCCAGGTCTTCATACTTGAGTGGTAGGTATGGTACCATCTGAGTCATCTCCCCAGCTCTCTACTCTAACAGTATTTTCTAGGAACTCCCTTATTTGTTGGATGAATTGATGAAGTAGAACACCAATTAAATGCTCTTTAGGGTATCTTCTAGTTTCACACAGATCTGCTTGACATTGAATCAGATAAGTAGGGGAGGAGTGGAGAGAGGAGAGAAACAAGCAGCAGATGTGCAGAGGGGAAAGAGTCATCAGGAGAAGGTGCAAAGTGTCCATCGCTCCTCCAGATACCACAAGTCTGGCCAAAGCCGAAGAGAGGCACATAGACAGCTCTGAACTGGGAATGGTTCTTCATAGAGCCTGTTTCCAGGACCTTTTAACTCTAAAGGGGTCAAAGGGTAATGGTGTAATGGTGTGTGGCTTCAAAAAGGTTACAATGGTTACTTTGGATTGTTTTCAAGTATTTCTTGGAGAAGTATTTCTTATAGAGTTGCCCCAGACCTCCCTGACTTTTTCCTCCTCTGAAGACATCACTCAAAATGGCAGGGTCGGGGGATGATGTATTAGTTACTTTTCTATTGCTATGATAAAACACCATGACCAAGGCAACTTGTAAAGGAAGAGTTTATTTGACTTATGTTTAAGAGCCCATCACAGTGGAGAGGCATGGCAGCAGAGACAGCAAGCAGGAGCAGGAAGCTGAGCTTTCACATCTCCAAGCATGTACAGGAGGCAGAGAGAGAAACTGGAAGTGGGGAACTTTCTAAGTCTACCCCCAATAATGTTATTCCTCCAGCAAGGCCACACTTCCTAAGCCTCCCAAAACACTGCCAACAACTGACCAAGTATTAAAAAACTTGGAGCAGATGGAGGACATTCTCATTCAAATCACCACAAATGAGGATTTCTGATCTCTGTAACCACTGTGGGAAGGTGGGAGAAATGTTAGCCACAGTCCCCAGAGAAGGCAGACCCTAATATGTTTTATTTTCCCTCCTTCAGGTCTGAATGCTGGTGCTTTTTATGCCCTATCCACGCTGCTGAATCGCATGGTCATCTTGCACTATCCGGTAAGGCAGCCCTCCAGGCATGCTGGGTTGTGAGAGAGGAAGGCTCTCAGTCTGCCTTCACAGAGGCAGGGGCAGCATTCACTCTTGGATCTAACTAGTTCTAGGCAACCTGGTATGGTAGCATGCTTATGGGATTGGGAGGGAGATGGCTCTGGGTCTCAACTCCAGCTTTGGCAGTACCAAACTGTTATTGTTATTATTATTATTTGATTTTTTTGGAGACAGGGTCTCCCTATAGTCCCAACTGGCTTGGAACTTTCTTGGCCTCGATCTCACAGAGAACTGCCTGCCTCTGCCTACCAAGTGCTGCAATTAAAGACATGCACCACTGTGCCAACTTTTCTATGTGTATGAATATTTTGTTTCTATGTATATAAGTGCACTCATGTGTGCAATGCCTGTGGAGGCCAGAAGAAGGCTGCCATATGGGTGCTGGGAACTGAACATGGGTCCTCTGCAAGCAAGAGCAGCCAGTGCTCTTAACCTCTGAGCTATCTCTCTAGCCCTAATTCTGAACTCTTATATGTTCAACTAAAGCATTTTAAAAAAATGTTTCCAGAGCCAGAACCAGTAAGGCTGGATATTGGGAAAGAGATACTAAGTGTCATGGAGTCAGTAAAGCCAAGGTTCAATCCCCTTTTGCAAGTGGATCTCATACTTGTAGGGGTGAAAGGCCATCGTGGCTAAATGCTCCAGTTTCCAGAATTTGGTAATTCTAAGTTCACATCCTAGCTCTGTATTTAATATATGCCTAGGACCTTGAAATAACAGTTTAATCTCACTGTGTCTTAGTTCCATCATCATCAAACAGGGACAGACTGACTCTTGGCCTTCTGGTGGGGAATTATGAGAATTAAACAATGATGTCAGTAGGAGCCAGGTATAGTGCTGTTTCAGTAAGTGTTCGAAACACATAGCTATTAACTTCCCATTCTTTTGGCAGTGATAGCTAAAACCATCAAAGAATGAAATATATGCATTTCAGCTGATTTTCCCATCTATGAAATGGAAATGATACATATGAATTACTAAAAGCATTAATTTTTTAAAAATCTCCTTGAAAGTGGCTATAAAAACAGAATTTGATTCATCATGTCACCCGAGCATGCAATGTCATGAATGCACAGATGAGGTGATTGAGAAGAGCAACTATTCTAGGATTTTTGTCTTATTGGGCCATCTCACTCTAGATTTTTCTAAATACTGGTCATAATTGATCCCAGTGGGCAATCTTTTTGGTTTCCCCAGGGGGAAGAAGTGAATGCTGGAAGAATTGGCCTGACCATCGTCATTGCAGGGATGTTTGGAGCTATGATCTCAGGCATCTGGCTGGATAAATCCAAAACCTATAAGTAAGTAACTCTTCTTCTTGGTTCAAGAACTGCCCCCCCAAAAGAACTGAGGTCCCATGTTTTTGGAATGACACACTCGGGCTGGAGAGATGGCTCAGTGGTTCAGAGTACTGATTGCTACTCCAGGTTTGGTTTCCAGCACCCACATGGCGACTGACAACCCTTTGTAACTCCAGTCTAGGAGATCCAGTGCCCTCTTCTGGCTCCAGGGGACTTACATGTGTGTGGTGCACACACACACACACACACACACACACAGACATATATGCAAAACACTCATATATAAATAAAAAATTTTTAAAAAGAAATGACATGCTCATTAGGAACATAGCTCAAAAGTTTTGGGGTGGAGGTCTGAGTGGTCAAGCAGGCAGTTCAAACTTTTCTTCTCTGAGTCTCAGTTTCCTCATTTACAAAGTGAAGAACATCATACTCAGTCTGTGAGATCTTGGGAAGATTGGAAACAGTAGACATAGGGGGCTGGAGAGATGGCTCGCAGTTAGGAGCACTAACTGCTCTTGCAGAGGACCCAGGTTCAATTCCCAGCACCTACATAGTGGCTATGAACCATCTTTAACTCCAGTTCCAGGGGACTCCGAAGCCCTCTTCTGACTTCTGTGGCATTGTACGACCCAGGTGCACTCACATACATGCAGGCAATACACTAATAAAATAAAAATAATAAAATATAAAAAAAAGTAGACATGCCGGTTGTGGTGGCGCACGCTTTAATCCCAGCACTTGGGAGGCAGAGGCAGGCGGATCTCAGTGAGGGTGAGTTCAAGGCCAGCCTGGTCTACATAGTGAGTTCCAGGACAGCTGGGGCTACAGGGAGACCCTGTCTCAAAAAGACCCCCCCCCAAAAAAGTAGACATGAAGGCTAGCTTTGTCCTCCTCCTCATTCCTATCTGCCAAGTAACCTTGTGGAAGAGGGGGAAGGGAGAAGTAAAAATGAATGTGAAGAAAAAAAATCTTAGCAGTTGGAAATTTTTTGGAAACCCTAAAGAGTGAAGAGAAGGTGATTCCACTGCCGTGTGCCCGTGGCTGCTCATGGACCCACAGGGCTAGCCGGGCTCTCCGTGCTTACTCCAGTCACAGTGCTATTATCTTACAGATGTTTTTATTTTGTTTGTAAATATTTTGATGTGCCTTTGACCTGAATGTCCAGTATATTTTTAAGAGCCCAGCACTATCATAAAGTTTCCATATATGCCAGCCTAATCCTGGCATATAAATACAAAGTCCTGGCACCCCACTCTGCAAAAGGTCAAGTCAGCAAAAGGGTCTGCATTTGTAAAACAACTCAAACTGACATTGGGGAGATGGCTCAATTGGTAAAGTTCCTGCTGTGGAAGATGAAGACCTGATTTTTTTTTTAATTTTTTTTAATGTGTATGAATGTATTGCCTGCATGTGTATCAGTGCACCCATGTCATGCAGTGCCTGCAGAGGTCAGAAGAGGGCATCGGATCCCCTGGAACTGGAGTTATAAATGGTTGTTAGCTGCCATGTAGGTGCTGGGAATCAAAACCAGGTCTTCTGTAAGAGCAGTCAGTGCTCTTAACCACTGAGCCATCTCTATAGCCCCAAGGATCTGATTTTGATCCCCAGAATCCATATAAAAAGTCAGACATGGTGGCACATGCTTGTCATCTTAGCCTTTGGGAGGTAGACAATCTAGCCCACTTGGTGAGCTCCAGGCTAGTGAGAGATCTGTCCCAAAAAGCAAGGTGAATGGTGCTTGAGGAACATCTGAAGTTGACCTTTGGCCTCCTGTGCACATATGTACATATGTATATGCACCTATACATGTATACCTGAAACCTCTACACAAACACATACATGAAAGAAAGAAAGAAAGAAAAAGAAAGGGGGGGGAGAGAGAGAGAGACAGAGAGAGAGAGAGACAGAGAGAGACAGGCTGGTAACCAAGCTAGGCATCAGCTCATAGTTGTCCTTTGGCCTCCTGTGCACATATGTACATATGTATATGCACCTATACATGTATACCTGAAACCTCTACACAAACACATACATGAAAGAAAGAAAGAAAGAAAAAGAAAGGGGGGGGAGAGAGAGAGAGACAGAGAGAGAGAGAGACAGAGAGAGACAGGCTGGTAACCAAGCTAGGCATCAGCTCATTGGTCAGCCACCTTGGAGAAAACGCTCCAGAGAACAGACAGCTGGAGAACAGACCTCAACCTATCCCCAACCCAAACCCACATGCTGGGAATTGAACTCAGGGCCTGTGCATGCTAGGCAAGCATTTAGTACAGAGCTACACTGCCAGCTCTGTCCCTTTCCCTCTGGTTGTGACTGTGCATTGCTCCCCATGCATAGGGTGCTTAGTGGATACTGGCTGGTGGGGCAGCTGCCAGGATTGTCTGTACTGGGCCAGGCAGCATTCCAAGCTGCTTTGTCAAGGCCTCCAAAGTTCCCAGTTTCTGGAGGCGACAGACAGACAGTGGCAGACCTGTTTTCTGCCACACAACCCACTTCTGTGAGTCTCAGGGAAAAACAGGTCTCACTTTAGCTGGCCTAGTCAAAGGCCAGTTGAGGCTGCTTTCAGGGATGTGGCTGGCCAGGCTTACCACGATGAGGAGCCTGGTTCAGCTTAATTACTTCTGGAGAAGCTTGGCTGCCATCTTGTCTCTGCATCTGTTAGTTGCTTATTTCAGCTGGGGCACTGAGGGCTGGCCACCCCCAGACCAATGGGCAGCAGTGTCCCTTCTTCCAGGGCCTGCCCTGCAGCAGGAGAAGGGAGGGATTGGAATGTTGGCTGGGCTGGGACGTGGGCAGCCAGATGACTCAGATGAATTAGAAAATGTAGTAAAGGCCTGGGAAAACTTGCTCAGCCCTCTTCAGAAGCTAGACTGGCCAGTTCTGCTATGACTCTATGTCCAGAACCAGCCATCAGCCAGTTCTTTTCTTCCTCAAACTCCTGGATTTGTCCACTTTGGTTTGGAGGCTGAAAACTGGGGTTGCAGTCTGTTTACTTCAGGGTGGAACCAGGAATAGTTTTTCTAAAGTAGTCAGTCTATGAGAATAGAGCTACAGTTACACAAACATGGCAAAAAAAAGTTTAATATTTGTTGAGTTGTGGAATCACCGAGAAAGACTCTTCTTCATGACACTGCTTTCTGTAGGGAGGTGGGGTTGGAGAGGGCAGAGCAGGGTGAAGGAAGGAGGCTCCTGGTTCTCAGTACCAGGTGGGAATGGCATCCTCTGGAAACTGTGGCCTTGACCTCTTCCAAAAATGCAACTGCACAGTAGATTATTATTCCTGTTTGTAGCCTGAGACAGTGCTAAGATTCCCAAAGCCAGCACTGGGTTCAAATTCCCCCTCTACATTTATTCAGTTAGCAAATGGAAAAATAACTGACCTCTGTATTCTTCATTGATAAAATTAGGAAGAGCCAGAGATTTTTTACAGGATCTTTGTAAAGGTTAAGTTTCAACTATAAACACTTGTAAAGTGTTGAACAGAATCTTGTATCCAATAAAAGTGTTAGTTCGATGTACCAGTGTGCCTGCTGGTATCCCACCATGTTCCTCGCTTCAGGGGAGACACATGACGGCTTTGAGCTGTCATCATCTGAACCCTGATACAGAAGGGTGGAAGGGTATGCTAAGCCTGTACCCTACAGGGAGTGTACAGGGAGCATAGTACAGGTCTGTCTACACGAATCAGGGCCACAGCAGAGTCCTGGGTGGCCAATACCAGGAAGGGAGTGTGCGGAGGGGCACGTCAGGAGTGAGTCTGACATTGAACCCAGCACAAAGAGAAAAACAGCAGGGAGTCTGCAGCAGCTTTTCCCTTTGGCTTTGGAGTGAAGCACTTAGCCCAGGGTTGGAGAGTGTTCTCTCACAGTTCCACTGACTGGAGCAGAGAGGTGCAAATTTAAGAGGAAAAGCTGCTCGGCTACACAGGTGACCACAGGAAGTAAGTAACTTAGCGATACCAGAGCTTTGAAAAGTTGGACCACTGCTCAGCATTGCCACGGGGTCTTGGAGTAAAGCTAACAAACAGAACTGAAAGTTGTAAGGTGGTCTTGACCACAACTGCCTTGACTATGGCTAGTTTGTCTTCTTAATCACCCCATCTCCTTTTCTTTTTTGGTGGGAGACAGAAGGAAAGGGCTGTGCTATTCCCACCTGGGATAGAACATGACAGGTTAGGGGCAGCTTATGGAAGGGGCTATGTAGGAAGACACATAACAAGATGGCTCCATTTTGACCTAGTTTTACCCTTTCTAACATTGATCATGGTGTGATTAAATAATTATTTAATTATTGGCTTAGTGTTCCTCTCCTGCATGGACAGATGGTTCTACGAAAGCAGATGTGCCAGCTGGACATAGAGCACATGCTAGCAGATCCTTGTGGAATGAAGATGAATGATAAATGCTGTTAAAGTAGGAATATGTGACTCAACGTCTTTGTATCTTCTCATAGGGAGACAACCCTGGTGGTGTACATCATGACTCTGGTGGGCATGGTAGTATATACATATACCTTGAACCTGCAACGCCTGTGGGTAGTGTTCATCACTGCTGGTACACTGGGGTAAGTTCACCTCTGACCTGTTTAATTAGAAAACACATCCTGTGGTTCCTAGAGTGATCAGTAGCCTAAGATACAGTGCACAGCCCTTTTGTTGGCTCCTTGCTGGCCTCAGGAGATGTGGAAAAGGTGCCAAGGGGTTAATTCTTGTAAGCACATTAGATAGCCAGGCTGTCCTGTTGGACTAGAATGAAGCATGAATTATGCCCTTTAAGACTTCTGGGGTAATGGGGAATGCATAGTGTCTCTTGGCTTTGCTTAGGTCAACATGGAATCATAGAAAGTACCCAGGGCTGAGAATCTTAAGTTCTGGGTCCAGGTCTCAGTTCTGTTGTCAATTACTGTTAGACCACAGCCCTGTCTCCTAATGCTTGAGCTTTGGTCTCCTCATCTGAAACTGAAGGTAAGTGTGGCCTACCTTGTAGGGCTGCTGGAAGGAATGAGACAGACTATGATGTGAAGATGCAGAGAAGCAAGGTGCAGATGGAAGAAGTTAGAACTGGCATTTTCAGACCTGTTTCATGAGAAAACACACAGAGAATAGCCCTTCTGCAGGCTGAGCCCTACCGCACAGTTACTTTCCTTCAGGCAGAATGAGTGTGCTAGGGCCTCTCAGTCTTTCTCAGATGGCTCTTCTCTGAGGGAAATGAGGACTCCAAGCTCCTCTTCCAGAGCCATGGAGATGCTTCCAAGTACCCAGAGATGTCTCCTTCCTTCCAACCCAGGGCCTGTGGATGCAGGACACATATGCTCAGCTGAAAGTGAAACATACCAAGCACTCTTGCCCTTCCATAAATGCTGACCTGTCATTGCGGCTGGAGGGAAACACATGGAGGGCCTTAGAGGCCCACTGCATACAAGGCCTTCGAGTCTACAGAGATCTCCCTTCTTTGGTAGAACATCTTAGAAAATGGACAGTTAACATGATGGGAATAGAAAAGCAGGAGAGGGAATCTAGGGTAAAAGATGGTACCCATTCTTGTTCTGGAAGCTCTTCATCACTTTGCTCTCTGATCTGGACTTTAGCTTCTTCATGACGGGCTATCTTCCCCTGGGATTTGAGTTTGCTGTGGAGCTCACGTACCCAGAATCAGAAGGCATGTCATCTGGTCTCCTTAATGTGTCTGCACAGGTAGGGCCCTATTTTCTCTTGGTTTTCTGCTTGTTTATGCTTGCGTTGCAATATGGCAGCTCAGTACTCCCCATGGCCTAGTTGATTAAGCCCTTGTTTCCAGTCTTCCTTATATATTTCCAGGTATTTGGGATCATTTTCACCATCTCCCAAGGCCAGATTATTGACAACTATGGAACCATGCCTGGGAACATCTTCCTATGTGTGTTCCTTGCCCTTGGAGCAGCCCTCACTGGTGAGTGGGAGACCTGAGAGCAACCCAAGGCTCAGGCTGCTCATGGACAAGGGTGTTGGTCGTTTGACACCTGCCTTGACTGATGAAGCCATGGGAAGTTCACATGTGGGGAAGAGACAGGAGAGCTTGATAGGACATCTGTTTGGGGTGGGGCAGTTGCATGGTTTGGTGGAATGAGCATGGGCTTTGGTATCAGACCAATGTTGACTTCTATAGCCTCTGATCTTGAGCAAGTGGATGAAGCTCTGGGGGCCTCACTTTCCTAATTTGTAAAGTAAGGATTGCTGGTGATGGTTAGAGCAAAGTGTGTAAAGTTCCTAGCAAGTATAAAAGCCCCTTGAGTTAAGGCAAGTGTCATTACTGGCTTCTGCCTATCAGGAACAGCAGTGATCCCAGACTTTTGGGGGGGTTGGGTATTGGGTCCAGCTCCATCTTGACACTCTAAAGTAGGATTGGGGTATCTCTGTGACCTTTAGGAAAATGAGGATTCCTTCGCTTGAATGAACTTGACCAATGGACTTGCTTGATGACTCTACCTTTGACATGTTTCCTTTTTTATCTCAGCTTTCATTAAGGCAGATCTCCGGAGACAGAAGGCAAACAAGGATACTCCTGAGACTGTAAGTATGTGGGACCTAGTGGAGACAGGATCTGGGTTCTGAGCTTGTGATAAGAATGTGGTGACATTGGTGGGGCTGAGAGAAGCTCCCAGAGGAATGGGTTTTTGTGGTGGCTGAGACCAGCTCTCGTCTCATAAATGTGGCCTCCAGATAGTTTCCTCAGTTGGGCATTCTACTCTTCCTCAGGCTCTTTTTCCAATTTCTACCCTCCTCCTATTGTAGTCCCCAGAGCATTGTCACTATTATCATAAACTGCTAAGCAGCATCAACCTTTGAGGTCCTGGACCAAGTCCTGAGTTCCTGGCTGCACTGTTAGCAACTTGGAATCAGTGGCTAGAGCGAGAACATAGGAGCCTGGCTTGACCACTCTGTCATGGTAGTGGTGACAGCCTCTTGGGCAGCATTATGGGAGATGGAGCCAATAGTTTGCCAGTAGGATTCTAAAAGAACAAGTTAAGAAGCAGGAGCTGATGGCAGGAGAAGGGGGACCAGGAGTATGCTCTACAACAGAAAAGCATTTCACATCTGCCCTAATCAGTTGGCAACAACTTTAATCAAAATGCTAGGATCAATTCTGAGTGAGAGGCTGGGCATGTTCAGTGGCAGAGTGCTTGCTTAGCATGCGTGGGATCTTAGTTCAATCCCCAGCATAGAAGAGGGGGATTCAAATGAGGATGAGGAGCCAAAGTAGGATATTCCTTACAGACACAGATAGACAAACAGGCATACCATCAGACTCATTACAGAAGTAATATATAGTTTTTGTAGGAAAATGAAAAAGACACAGCAAATGTACAAGTTTTAAAAAATCACTCTGTAGGGGCTGGAGAGATGGTTCAGTGGTTAAGAATATTTGCTGTTTTTCCAGAGTACCTGGGTTTGATTCCCAGCACCTACATGGTGGCTAACAACCATCTGTAACTCTAGTTCCAGGGGCTCTGACACCCTCTTCTGGCCTCTGCAAGCTTTGCACAACATGGGTGCACTTACATACACAGAGGAAAAACACTAATACACATAAAAATATTGCCAGGCATGCCTTTAGTCCCAGCACTCAGGAGGCAGAGGCAGGTGGATCTCTGTGAGTTTAAGCCCAGCCTGGTCCACATAGTGAGTTCCAGACAGCGAGACCCTGTCTCAAAAAGACAAAAAATAATAAATAAATAAATAAGTAAGTAAGTAAATAAATAAGTAAATAAATAAATAAATAAATAAATAAATGAGTCACTAAAGTGACACTTTGTATTCAGGTCCACTCTTCCTTAATGTAATTCTGTAGCTGTCGACCGCCTATTCCTCACCCAGACCCCTTTCAGTAAAGATCTTTCATACTCCCAGTAACATCCTCTGTGACAGGGGAATAAAGAACTTTCACTAAGGAAGGGAACATATTTGTGGTATTTTTGCCTGATTTCTAAGTAGTTCCCCCTTTTAGACATTATATTATTTTGTAGTCCCAGCCAATATGAAATTTGTTTTGGGGTACCTCTTGTTTTGGTTTTTGTTCTTTTTTTGAGTCAGGGTCTTACTATGTACCTGTGGCTGGCCTGGAGCTCACTATATAGCACAGGCTGGCCTCAAACTGACAGTAATCCTCTGCTTCAGCTTCCTGAGTGCTGAGAATATAGGCATGAGTTACTATGCTTGGCTTTTTTTGTTGTTATTTAAAAATAGCCTCTATTATGTCAGGTGTGGTGACGCACACCTTTGATCCCAGCATTCAGAAGGCAGAGGCAGGCAGATCTCTATGAGTTCAAGGTCAGCCTGGTCTACATAGTGAATTTCAGGGCAGCTGGGGCTACAGAGAGACCCTGTCTCAAAAAGACCAAAAAAACAAAACAAAACAAAACAAAAATAGCCTCTATGCTCCTTACTGCAGCACTTACTAGTCTTCTGCAGCATACCTTTCATGACTTCACAATGCTCTATTATATGGGCAAGGCATAATTTAACAGGTTTCTGTTTGGAGATTAAGGTACTTTTTAATTGTTTAAGCAATATTGTGGCTGGTTAGCTCACATGGTTCAAATGTGGTGCTAATAAATAGTTTAGGGTCTGATATGGTAGAAGCTGGGTTGCTGTGTTTATAAGAATGCAGTATTTCCTTGAGGACATGGATCAGCTCTCATGAACATTTTTAAAGATTTTGTATGTTGCTAACTTTTCTAAAAAGATGTGGCCAATTCTATCAGTGTGTGTGTTGTTCCAATAGTGTACAGGAGTGCCAATACTGCACATTTATCATTTTGAAAAATGTTTGCCAATTTTCTAAGGCCAAACCAATTTTCTGCAGGAGATGGCTTTGAGCATTTAAGGATATGTGCTGGTAGACAGATGAGACTCTTCAGTTCTCTACTCTGTGTATTTTGATTACCATGTTCTAGAGTCGGCAGGCAGCAGGTAGCAAGGAGGAGGAGCCTCGAATAAAGCATTCCCTGGGAGGAGGGAAAGCCTCTAGATAGGACTGATTGTTCCCTAGACCAGTGTGAGGAGCAAAGGCCACTGTGGACACAGCCTTCCATTGTGGACACAGGCTTTTCACTGTGGATATAGGCTTCCACTGTGTTGTGTTTATATAAGGAGACACAATGATTTAGGACACTATTGCCAACAAGTATATGATGTCTGGAAGAAAGTATCTGTGCTAAAATAGGATGGACTTTTGGCAAAAAAAAATTAATTTGGAATGTGATGTATTGTGTCAAGTGGCACGTGAGTTTTCTGTGTCTAAGTTGGCAGATATAGACAAACATACAAATTGCCTTTCATATAGTGTCCCAGAGAGTAGCACTCCTGTCCATTTCCCAGGGTTATAATCTATGGTATACATGTATGTTTCATTTTCTACTCTGCATGTTTGCTTAATATAGATAGGGGCTAGAGAGACGGCTCAGTGGTTAAGAGCGTGCACTTCTCATAGAGGACCTGAATTTGGTTCCCAGCACCCATATCAGGTAGCTCACCATTGCTTGTAACTCCAGCTCTGGGAGATCTGAGCCCTCTTCTGGCCTCTGTGGGCACCTGTGATGCATATATGTACTCTCACATAGACACAATCACACATACTTTAAAAAACAGATAAGCTTCCCACCCAGTTACTCTCTACCTTAATCTCATGTCCACAGATAACACATATTTCCATCTTGTTTACTTTTTAATTGCAGTACTTTCCTCTTTTTGAAGCCAGATCCTTGTGTACTTGTCAATCAAGTGGCGTTCTTGGCCCAGTCTCCTTGAGTACAGGATATTGCAACAGGAAGCAGGAACAGGGGCCCTGTGTTCTGGAATGGTGCTCACCTTCTTGTATGCCTGGATAACTTGCTGTTTCTGGACCTCACCAGTATCTGCAGCTACTTGGCATTAAGCAGGGGGTGGGGATGGTCCAGAGTCATTCTGGGGTTGATACCAGCAGGGAAGCTATAGCTGTCCTTCCTCTGGAGCCCTGACCATTATATACCCCATGGCAGCCAATGTAACTTAGAGGCCTGAAGACAAACACACTGTTACAGCCCAGTGAGGACAGGGCATACAACAGGTCCACTCTATCTGCTTTTTCTATACGTTAGTGAGATTTACAGTTTAGGTCAAAAGAGAACCTCTAGGACAGGATGAGTGACTTGACCTTGACTATGAAACTTTTTTGGTTTGGGTTTCCATTTTCCTTCCAGCACTTAGACAGTAGCTGTGCCTTTGGAGGAGGCAGGCGTGTGTGCATGTGTCTCAGAGGGAGGTCAGCTGTGAGTCGTCTGAATGAAAGCTCCCATGACTGGGGTGGACTGGGCGCCAAAAGGCCATCAAGATTAGGAAGGCTGAGTTATTACAGCCATGGTCCTTGCCATGGGTGTGACTGAAGCACTCCTAGGGATAAAAGCACCATTTTCTAGCTGGTGCTGGCTTCTGGCTTGGTCCTGAAGCACTCCTCCGGGCCTTGAGCGCTGTTGGCTCTGTAGTGCTATGTTCAGGTCCTCTTGCTAATTAGAAGATAGCAAAATGCAGTATGTCCCAAGGATCCCACAGGAGAATTTCCAGGCTATATTTAATCCCAAGCCTACCTAACAAGTATAAGCTGGAGATTTCCCGTAAATGAACTCCATGCCATCTTTCAAGGGAGTCAAGTCCAAACTGGTTTGGTGTTTTTTCTTATGGGGAACATACAGAACATACAGAACTTGGGGGTTACCTCCAACTGGGGGCAGCTGGAAAGACTGAGGTGCCACACATCTGGAACTGGGAACACCTAGTTGATGGTAGGGGGAGGTGAGTTTTGTGCTGTCGGAACAGGAAGCTGGCTTTGTCTGAGGAGCGCTGATGGTGAAGGCCTGTGTTTGGGGAATGCACTCAGGGCAGACTGGGTGCTTGTTTGCTTCTTCCTTTTGTTTGCTCTTGGGGACAGTGGGTAGCCTCTGGCTCTTGCACTCACACTGATTAGAGTCATGGGCAGGTAGCTGCTTTGGCAGGGAGGAAGAGACTTGAGTATTTTAACCATAGCTTGCTTTGCCTTCTAGAAAGTCCAGGAGGAGGAAGAGGAGAGCAATACCAGCAAGGTGCCCACCGCCGTGTCGGAGGCTCATCTCTGAGAGGTGGCGGTGACTCAGGGAACACACACTCAGCTCTCGGTTACCATTATATACCTCTGCCAGCACCAGCATCTCCAGGGAGAAACGTTTGGAGGGAAGCAGCTGGAATATGAGACTTGCATGGCAGTGCTTATGTCCTGGAACCTACCCAAGAACCTGGATGGTTCAGCTGGGGGAAGTGTCACCTTTCTCCAGATGCAGACTGGATTCCTGCCCTTTCCCCATTAGGTCACGGGGCTGGTGTTGGGAGAGGCTGGTGGAGGGTATTGGAGTCCTTTCTTGCTTGGTCTCTTGCCCTCTCTCATCCCTTTCTTTTCTTGTGGAGAATGCTTGCAAAATTATCCTAAGAAAGTTTATTCAGGATATTAACTTTTTCTAATGTCTCAAGACCCTCCCACATGAAGCCCAGTTCGTATTAAGAAGGGGCAAGCTGCTCTGTCTGAGGGTCCTTCTTGGGTCATGATGAAGGAGCACTGTGGGAACAGCCTCCATCAGACCCCCATCAGTCTGCCAGGGCAACTCTGTCAAGACTCTTGGCCTTAGCTCTTCTGGCCTAGGCTGCAGTCTCTCTTCAGACCCTCTTTCCCAAGAATGATGAGACCAAACACCATTAAACCAGATAAAATGTTTGTTGTGGCCATGAAGGAGAAACTGACTGGAGAGGGCTTACTGCCTAGGTGTGACAGTGCTTGGATGTATGTAGAGCTCCATATTGGAGAACCGGTAGCTTGAGTTGGGATGGGAGGGTGCTTTGCTACAAAGTGGTGCTTGCCCAAACTTTGATGTGGCCCAGGCCATTGAGTGTGCCTTTATCTGGACACTGTACTGGGAGACCCAGCAAACAGCCCAGCTGCTCCTGGCTCTAACCTTTACTGAAAACCAGTGTCTCTTATTCCACTCTGATACCCAAGGCTGTTTCTGAGGTGACAGCAGAAGGGAAGTTGGCTCTTGAACATTGCATCTGTTTCAAACGCATCTCGTGTATATTGGGGACATAGCTGCACAATCAAACCCTCTCCCCGACCCCTGCTAGCAATACTCTACCAAATATTTTAAATTTAAAAGGGTTCCTTTTAAATCAGTCCCAGCTGACCTTCCCCACCCAGCCTGCTAACTGTATTCATGGGCTTTATAGTGTCTCCTCCAAGTAAGGGAAACTGAAACTTTTTCCTGTGTTTGGAGAACTCTGGCCATGACCATCATGCTGCCTGGCTTTAGCCATGGCCTTGGCCTCAGCACAGCAGAGCAGTCTGGACTATCTACAGTATTGTGTGCTGGGCTATTGCCAGAGGGGAGACTGCTTGTGTGTATACAGACCTGAGTAGTCCATGAGAGGAAAACACTGTGTGGGGGAGTTTTGGGATGAAAGGGAGATGTGCCTTCCTGTTTGTCAGGAGAAAGGTGTTTATTCTTCAACTGCTCAAAATCAGTAATATGTTTACTGAATTGATTTATTTAAAAAAATAATTTGTATTTCCTGTTTGTAATACCAGGTATTTTTAAGGTAATAAAGATGCTCAAAGTGGTCTGCCTGGTCATTTGGCAAGGCAGAGCACCTTTTGGTGTTCATACATTCAGCGTATTGTCTGGGATGTGTGAGAAGGCTGGTGAGGGGGTGGGCTTAAGGCCAGAAGAGCAGCATCTGTGTTCTTTGTTGACAAGGGTGTAACATCCTGTTGGGTTTTGAAGAGACTTTAAAGGTTCCTGACTGCCTACATAGATGTAATTCAATGGCCAACCCGTGACCCTGACTTTTCCCTACTGCGCACATGCTGGAATGTACCTGTTCCCACCAGCAGGCCCACTGTTGTCTTTGGCTCTGCCTCAAAGGGCAGCAGAAGTGTTTGATCACCCCAGACCCACACCAGCTTGCTCTGGCCAATGTCCATAGCTTAGTTCCGGTACTGGCAGGTCTGCTTTGGTGACTGTCCTCCTTCCTGCCACTCCTCCCCACTGGGTTCTGCTCACATCTGCGACAACGGTACGCTGTTCTCATTCCTGCACTGAGATGTACACTGTGCCTGTGGCATTTAGGCACTATATTTATTGGCTCAATGGAGACAGTGATTCCATTTTAAGTCTTTAGGGAAGGGAGTGGGCCTGACGCTGAGGTCTGACATTCATAGTATTTGCTAAATGCTGTACCTGCATTTAGTAGCTTCTGGACTTAAATGGCATCATATGGGGCTGGAGAGATGGCTCAGTGGTTAAGAGCACTGACTGCTCTTGCAGAGTACCCGGGTTCAATTCCCAGCACCCACATGGGAGCTACAAACCATCCTTAACTCCAGTTCCAGGGGAATCCAAAGCCCTCTTCTGACCTCCGTGGCATTGCATGACATGGGTACACTCACATAAATGCAGGTAATACACTCATACACATAAAATAAAAAAAAATTCAAAAATGTATAAAAAATGGCAATCATATATGTATGACATATGCTTAGGGGAGCCATACCGTCTTACACATTCACTCATTCCCTTCCGAGGCGGTCTCCACAAGGGACCTACATGCAAATGTTAACTCAGCAAGGTCATTGATTTTCTTACTGCCTTCTTACAATAGCAGGTGGGCAAGGATAATTCTTACCATTGAGCTATTTTTCTATAGTGTAGTAGGGACGTAAGTCCTGGAATTGCTGCATTCTTTTGGCACCATAAAGGAAACCAGCCCAAGGAGGAAACCACACTGGGGAGGGGGCTGAGCTGAAAGAACAGCAGTGACAGGGAGCTGGAGTCCAGCTAAACCACCCCTGAAGCCCATGATCCTAACCTTTTGGCCAACCATGTTATCTTTACTGTTTAAAGGCACTTAAAGTAGATTTTTGTTCCCTTCGCCTAAAGCGCTGATGGAGACTCCTCAATGTATTTAAATAAAAACAAAGCATCCTCTACATCCTTACAGGCTATACTTCCCCTCTGATCTCCATCTTTCACACCCTAACTCTTACCCTACTGCAGTTACATGCATCTTAATTTCTTCAGCAAGGTGGTTCCTACCTGCCAGCTGCTGCTCCTTCTGCCCTAAATGCCTGCTTTACATCTGAAGCCATCTGAGTGTTAGCTGAAATCCTCCAGCTCAGGGAAACCTTTCTGATCTATTCAGCATCTTCTCTACCCATCCTGATCAAAATTCCTTGTTTTCTATAGAATTCTTCTGTCTGGAGTTCTTCCTTAGCTGGCTTATGGAACCTGTTACCTTGGCTACCTGAGGCAGCAAAGGCAATATCTGTGTGGTTCATGTCTCCATCCTGAGTGTCTGGCATGGAGAAGTACTCACTGGTATTTGTTGACATGAGAGACATGCTGAGTATACAGTATGTGGCCCAGCAATGAAGGCCTCCAGGCAGTGTACAGGAGATGAATATCTACTCTGAAGCATGATCCTGGTGTCTGGGGGCTTCTTTTCATGGCTAGGCAGCTGTTTCTCCTAGGTTGCTTCATTCTACTTTCTGTATCTGTTCTCAAGACTGTTTCTTCTTTAGGAAGAAAATGGGAAAGGGCCATGACTGTTGAGCTGTGAACTTAGAATCTTGAAGATAAGGAAGAGAAAGAATTGGCATCAAGAACACAAGAGGCACGAGTAAGAGACAAAAAGGAGCTGGAGGCAGCTGGGCTCACCTGGGTCTTTGTCCTGTTCACTACCGTAGACACGAAGAAGCCAAAAGCTATCACTTTCTTTTCCTGGGCCTGGGGGCAGGAGGTGGGGTGGGGCTCTTAGGAGAGATCAAAGTATAAAGACTGATCAGAATAGAGGGTTTTCTATTTAATACAAAATTCATTACACAAATACAGATGACCAGAAGGTCTAAAAACAGCCCAGACCCTTCCAACACTCATCCACCTGTAGACAAGAGAGGAGCCACGGTCCTGCTCACACGGAAGGGAGCCCTTCTCAGAAGAACTGCCTGTCCGTTGGATGGTTCAGAGTCTTGGGTCCAGCAGCAGAGAGGAGCCCAGTGTGTGTGGACAACCCCTTGAAGCAGCCCTTGGTCACAGCTGCTCTGGGTGGGCAGCAGCTTGAAGTTTCACAGTTCTCATGTTCTCACCACACAAGTCAAATCAAGGAATGGAAAAGAAAACAAAACAGAAGACTGGAAAGGAGGCCTGAAGGAGGATGCTGCAGCTGTGGGGAGGACACATGGTTCTGAGGGCTCCTTGACTTGGAAGGAGTCACAGAACATTGTCAAAATTACTTTAAATCATACATATATGATACATAATTTTTCTATACGAATATCTTAAAATATTAAAAAATGTTAAAAAACCCCAAAAGCTTAAGATGCTGAAATTGGATGAAAGAACTAAGGCTAGAGCCAAGAAGAAGCAATGGAAGGGCAGAGGATGAAGAATGAAAATGGCAAAGGGGGAAGGTGATGACTTCTTAGAGGTGGCAAGGCTGGACTCAGTTTCTCTTCTTCTGTCTGGATACTGGTTTGGCTTCTAGGTACCGGAGCCCGACTAGCATACCCAGGATTGAGAAACCTTAAACACACAGAAAAGATGGGTGATGGGCATAAAAACAGCACCTCAGAACTCTAGCACATCTATTCTCTGCACAGTCCCACTGCTGCAGGGGGTCTAGGGTAGCTGGGTGCTTACTTGCCACCATCAGGGGTGCCAGAACACCAACTGTAGGAGCTGCAGTTCCAAATACAAACAACTCTGAGAGGAAGTGTCCCAGGGCAAGGAGGAATGTCCACAGTGTGATGTGATAGAGCCTACAAGGGAGCAGACAGAAATGGAAACCGAAGTTACTGCTTGTTTGGTGGACAAAGAATTGCAGATGGTGTCATTTGACCCGAAATGTGTAATAGGACTCTGGCTTAGGAGAAAGCACACTTTTTCCTCAGAAATACCTGGTTATTCACTCACATCACTTTCTTCTCTCCTAGAGCAAAATTGAAACATTTTAAGGCTAATCTGAAAGGAGAATGGTCTGAGCAGCCACCAGTGGGCCTCTTAAGTCTTAGTAAGGTAGAGAACCCAGCTCTAGTAGAGTCTAGATGGCAGTCCTAAGTAGTGCAGTAATTCTGGACCAAGCACACTTACTACTCCATTTGTGCAAATGGGTAGATAGCAGGTATCTGGCTATGGGCCAGCCAGTGCTCATCTGATATAACCAAAAAATGGGTGTCCTGACTGGGGAATTAGTAGTAAGATGTCTCTGGGACTTTCAGATGCTTGTGTAGCACAGGTCTAAAACTGTGGTCTGATGGAGGACAAGGAAACAATTCCACAGGAAGAGAACTCGCTCCTTAGTTTTGACTATTATGTGGAGGAGACAGGGTGCTGGCTGGCTGACCACTTGGATTGCAGGTATCTCTTTAAAAAAAAAAAAAAAAAACTATGCAATTGAGCTGGAGAGATGGCTCAGTGGTTAAGAACACTGGTTGTTCTTGCAGAAGATAGGTTCGAATCCCAGCACCCACATGGCAGCTAACAACTGTCCATAACTCCAGTTCCAGGGGATTCGACAGCCTCTTCTGTCCTCCGGAGGCATTGTACAACACAGGTGCACTTACCTACATGCATACACATGAAACCAAAAAAAAAAAAAAAAGAAATTAAAGAGAAAATTAGGACATATTTCAAGTATATATATAATAAACTATAACAAAATACAATATACCCAAGACTGCTCTATTAATCTTAACACTTGGACTTTTCTGTTTCAGATTTTTCTTTTCTTTTTTGAGGTTCTAGGGATCAAATATTTGCCTCTGAGCTAGATTCTCCCATTGGATACTTCTAACAGATAAAGTATTACAAAGAAAATTCACAGAGCAGTGAAACCATCTCTGCACTCTTACACTACCCTGACATCCTTCTCCCTGCCCTTTCCAAAAGCAGCCTGTATCTTTTTTAAAAAATATTTTATTATTTTTTTTATGTGTATGCATGTATTGCCTGCATGTAGGTAAGTGCACCCATGCCATGCAATGCCCACGGAGGACAGAAGAGGCCGTCGCATTCCCTGGAACTGGAGTTACGGACAGTTGTTAGCTGCCATTAGCTGGGATTCAAACCCGGGTCTTCTGCAAGAACAGCAAGTATTCTTAACTGCTGAGCCATCTCTCTAGCCCCCTAGAACAGTCAGTGTTCTTAACCGCTGTGCTATCTCTACAGCCCTCATGGAACCCATATCTTAAATTTTTTTTTTTTTTTGTTGTTGTTGTTGTTGGTTTTTTTGGCCTTTTTGAGACAGGGTCTCCCTGTAGCCCCAGCTGGCCTGGAACTCACTATGTAGACCAGGCTGGCCTTGAACTCACAGAGATCCACCTGCCTCTGCCTCCCAGGTGCTGGGATTAAAGGCGTGCACCACCACACCCAGCTTAAATTTCGTTTTTATCATTCTACTGCAGGTTATTACACGCAAGTGTGTGTGTGTGTATGTGTGTGTGTGTGTGTGTGTGTGTGTGTGTGTGTGTGTGTGTGTGTGTGTTGATTTTGAGTTTCCACTTATGGAGGGATAAGATCAGGGTGCATGTCAGAAGTCCATGGATCAAAGTCCTAAGCTAGAAAAGACTGGAAATACCCAGTCAGCTTTGTAGCTGTTCTGGGTTGGAAGAGGGGAAAAGTGAATAGATAACAGGTAAGGATCAGTATGAATTGTTTTTGGTCACTCCAAAAGCACAGCAAACAGAAACCACATTCTTTATAACTATTAGCAATTCTTCACCATGGTGAAAGTCTTCTTTCCAGTCACCCTGAGAGGCAGAACAACTAACTATTATCATTTTATAGCTGAAGAGACCAAGGTACAGAGCAAGTAAACAATGAACCATAAAGTCAGTTGCCCACAACACTGGGGGCAGCATGAGTTTTTCTTGTTTTCATTCTTGACCCCAGGTAGTTTCCACTAAACCACATTGCTTCTAAGAATATGTGTTCAATCTAGGACATGTAAACCAGTTTCTAGAATAAAAAATTTTAAAAATAAAGTTGGAAAGATCAAAGGGCTAATAGTCTTCCTTCAAATCCCACTTGAGTCAGTCTTCCACAGTTTCAATTAATTGGGTTTTTAATATTTGGCTCGCAAGATTAGTAATGAAAATCATTACCCTCCAGGGCTGCTAAGAGGAGACCGAGACAAGGTCATGTAGGTGTAGGTTCCTGGTTAAAAAAAACCTCCATGAATATTATTGCCTCCTCTGTTCTCCAGATGCTGAGGGATGGACAAGATAAAAACATTTCAGTGTGAGGTTGGCCTTTTGACAGTCTCACCCAGTGGACTGAGCAGTGGCTGCTTCCAACCTAGATTGTGATGACTGCAGAGAAGAAAGCTTGAGCCCCCTCCAGTGGCCAGAACTAGGTATGGCATGGTCAGGACAAAGGGGCTAGGAGGCCTGCACCTGCCAATGCTTGGCAACATCCAGGGTCTCTTTCACCCTTACCTACTGACCTCCTCATGAGCCCCCATCAATTTACCTGTGGGTTTCTTCATGGATTTCTGTTCTGCTTAAAGAGGAATGTGAGAAAAGGTATGTATGGGGCTGGAGGGTAGTGTAGCTCACCAGTGGAGCATTTGTGGGCTACGTTCAAAGTCCTGGATTTGATCCCTAACAATGTAAACTGAAACAACACAAAACCTCTGAAGCTAAACAGAGCACACCACTCTACTTTTTTTTTTTTTTTTTTTGAGATAGGGTTTCCCTGTAGCCCCAACTGGCCTGGAACTTGCTATGTAGACCAGGCTGGCCTCGAACTCACAGAGATCTGCCTGCCTCTGCCTCCCAAGTGCTGGGATTAAAGGCGTGAGCCACCACACCCGGTCTCACACTCAACTTTTTTAGTAGGAGAAAGGCAGACCCGGTCTCACACTCAACTTTTTTAGTAGGAGAAAGGCTGATTTTTTTTTTTTTTAGTAAAGAAGTAAAAGGGTACCAAGGTCTGGGCTATACTGTAGCCCAGATGGGTTACACTGTATTCTCTAGAGGTGAATCCTGGCAGACCACTGGATAATGACAATGCCGTTTGCTAAGACCTGTTAGGCATTTGTGTATTTAAGGCCTGGAAGGAACAGCCCAACAGGCCTTTCAATTTTCTACCCTAGGCTAAGATAGTAAAGTGATTTAACATTTCTAACAGCAGGACAGTGAGCCTGATTCCCAACAAAAGGCCAAGGCCCCTCCTTCTGTTACATACGTCTTGTTGTGGATATCAATGGCACACAGGCAGCGAATCACTGAGGAGAGCAGTGTCCATATCCCAAAGGTACGAGCTTGGAGACCATTCACTGTGTAATGGAAAAAGCAAGAGTGTTGAGAAGGGGAGGGTGAGGCGAACTTCCCCCAGAACTCTTCCTTCTTTCCAGGTGGTTCACAGCAGGTTGCTGAGTCTGACTCCCTGGCCCAGTGGCTAGGCAGCGTGGAAGCTCTGATGCTACCCCTGGAGAATGGGATGGAAGGAATTCTGAAAGCTCTGTGGATCCTCTTCAGATGCCTACAGTTGGGAACTGAACCCAGGTCCTCTGCAAAGGCAGCCAGTGTTTTGAACTGCTGAGCCATCTCTCCAACCCCTCAGGCTACATTCTTTAAAAACCAAGTTGATGGCTTTTCTAATGAAAAGACTGGACACATTTCTCTAGTGTGAGATGCTCAGATGGAGTCCTTCTCCAGGCCTAACCAGTTGAGGGTCAAGTGAAATTCTCCATCTACAGGCTCTTCTGGAGCCTACTGGACCAGCACACACCCTCCAGCAAGACACATGCCCTGTGTGCTTCTCTGTCTCAACTTTAAATTCAAAGGGTCACACCAGAGAGCTTCTAAATTTCTGTGCATCTATACAGAGTTCCATGACTACTTGTGGGCAGCATTTGAGGGTTAAAAAATATATACTCTTTCAGGTTCTTGACTCCTATTATAGTTGAACTTTGTCCAAAATAAGCCTCAGCCTACTTAATTTCATTTCTACCTAGATGTTGCAGAGAAATGAGCTAGGTCAGAGCCTGAATCTGGGTTATAAATGTGACACAGAATCAACCGTCAGCTGCTGTCAATCAGTGCTGTAGCTCCAAGTACCCCCAAGCCAACGAGGTGAAGCACTAGCTGCAGAATACCCTCTTCTTAGTGAAGCGACGTGGCAAGAGGAAAGGCTCTACCACGAGCTCGAGATCTACCTTGGAGATGAATTTGGAGGGACTTGGGGTATCCACTTAGGGACTACATCACAGTTTGGGAAGACCTTGGATGAGTAACTGGTCACCCATCACATGGACTATAAACCTTGTGTACCATGCTCTTATTTCTGGTGAGGGGCTCTAAGATATAGTGAAGGCACACATGCCCTGTGTGCTTCTCTGTCTCAACTTTAAATTCAAAGGGTCACACCAGAGAGCTTCTAAATTTCTGTGCATCTATACAGAGTTCCATGACTACTTGTGGGCAGCATTTGAGGGTTAAAAAATATATACTCTTTCAGGTTCTTGACTCCTATTATAGTTGAACTTTGTCCAAAATAAGCCTCAGCCTACTTAATTTCATTTCTACCTAGATGTTGCAGAGAAATGAGCTAGGTCAGAGCCTGAATCTGGGTTATAAATGTGACACAGAATCAACCGTCAGCTGCTGTCAATCAGTGCTGTAGCTCCAAGTACCCCCAAGCCAACGAGGTGAAGCACTAGCTGCAGAATACCCTCTTCTTAGTGAAGC